AAAATTGTTGATCAGGAAATATTAAAAAAGAGTTTGAGACAAAGATTGCAGATTTGAACTGCTTATGTATTGATGACTTACTATAACTTGGTGTACCATTAAACAACTGACGACCAACCAAAATAATTAATAGCCCATATAAAATGCTTTCAACCAAGTGAATCGATCGTGGGAGTATAAAACACTACTCCTGCAACCTCACAAAACAAAAAAAAAAAAACAAAAAAAAAAACCCATAAAAACCAGAAGATTATTTCCACATGTACAGAGACAAGCCCAGATGTGGAAGGGGGGGGAAACAAACATATCCTTTTCCTCTATTTCCCATTCGATACAGAAGCCCTAATTATGAGTAGAAAATGTAGAACATACATATTTATTTATTTAATTGCATTCCCTACGCATAAAATGCAATCTATTGTTATTAATGAGCAAATGTTTAAACTCACGACTCATTAGTTCTCGTTTCTCTATCTAAACTACCATGTCATCAAAAAAAACGATACTGCAATACGGAATTGACAATTAATTACCCTAATTCCCAATCTTCAACAATCTAAATACAACAACTAAAGTAGAACAAAGATAGCTCTAATCAATAAATTAAAATTATTACAGATGGATCCAACATCAGAGTCAAACCAAGATATGAAACCTTCCTTCCGTTGTTAAAAGGTTTTCTGTCCGTCTGAATCCGTTAGCCAAATTTTGTCTTTATATGTTACTAACAAGAAGTTAAATAAAAGAGAGAGAAAAAAAAACCGGTGCATTTCGTTTTGCAATAAACTAACAGTTTCAAATGATGCTATTTTTTCCCTTTGATAACTTAAAATGAATCCCGTGTTTTATTTTAGCTTCTCAGCAACTATTGTAATAAATAAATATTGTTATATGAAGCATACGCTGCAAAAAAAAAGTAATCCTGATACATTTACATCACAGAAGTGGAACTTGGTAGTATAGAAATGCTTGATTGAATAATAAGAGGGAGGACGGACACTGGATAACAATATCAACAAACACTATATCAACAAATGGTAATATCATCAAAAATATAATTGATACCAATATGGTGACTGCCTCCTTAACAACCCCAGCTATTGTCACTGTAACAGCACTAGTTACTGAGGATCAGAAAACATATTCTGTTAGTACCCCGACCTGCAAAGAAGTCAGAATCCAAATTAGGTGAGATAAGAAAGTTAAAGCTAAAAAAACAATGTGACAGTTAAACAAACGGCCCCTGTTCAGGACATGGGTAGGTAACAATAAAATTAAAACATTAACTAACGGAGCATAAAAATTGGTTAGACAATCTACTTCAGTCCCCTTAGGAGGAGAGAAACAAAATAATATACACGTATCATGAAGGAAATACACAGCCTTACCATAAGAAAGGCAATTGAACCACCAAGAAGCATCAGCAAGCAACTTCGAGTAATATGCACTGAATTATCAAAGTACTGATTTTCTCGGAATTCATCCCATGGATCTAAAGCAAGGGAAAGAAGGGCAGTTGCCACTGCCATTACTGGAGTTACATAGCTCATCAGGGTAATTGGATTTTTCAGACCTGAAATTATTTGAAAAAAGCATGAAATATTTTTGTTAAAATAGAACGGCACTTACAAAATCTTAACTCGAAAGTAAACTTGAGCAAAGAAAAATGATTCAATGCTAGATGGAGTTCAGAAATTTAAAAGATGAAAAAATACTATATAGTCAATATAAAAATTGAAAAAATTTCGCCCGTCGCTAAGTCCTTCAATAATTTACTAGGCTCCCTTCTTAATTTTTAGAACTTCAAGGCCCACATCAATTGCCTTGGAGTGCTCTAAATTCTCTTGTAGTCGATTTGGTTTTTTTCAATTTATTCCTTTTTTTTTTATTCCTTTTTGGCTTTAAAAGGAGGATTTCTGAAATCCTTCTTCCAGTATTTTGTATTTCATTCTATTATGTTTTTTTAATTAAAAGAAAAGTCAATTTCCTGATGGTAATTAAAGTTATCAGTTTTGCATGATCCTTTTTCTATTTATTAACTACCCCCACTTATTAATTTCTTAAGGAGCTTAATAATCAATAACCTTGTGTTAAAAATGGAAGATTCCAGGACTGAAAAATATATTGATTGCAATTAAATTCAGATTTCAAGTTAAACAAGGTAGGAAATCTATGTGGTCTACATGATAGTTGATTTTGTTGAATATAGTGAAAACTAGGAATAGGGTTAATCTTCCTTGTGTAGAAAATATAAAGGGTAATGTATTTATAATAAAAAAATATTGGCTAAGGCCAAATACAAATAATTATGTAAAGTAACTTAAGACACAATTTAAAATTCTAACAGTTTAAAATTTATGGAAGGTACATATACAAAGAAACACAAACCCACAAGACTTCTCCTTATTTTTTTTTCAGCTAGAAAGCCACCTGGCTTTATTAATACTAATTTTGATTAATAAAATCTAATTACTGTGAGTACCAGATGTATTTAGCGCTGAGCTGAAGGAACAACTAACTAAGAGGGCAGTACAAGCTTTCAAAAGAAGCAATATCTCTCTGACAGTTGAAGTCACCATTGTTGATGCCTCATCGCAAGGAGATTCCAACAATAGGTGTACAATTAATATCTTAGAGCTGCACCATTCTTCTCTTTTTCAATATTTTCTTTTCTTTTGTTTAAGAGGACTGTTTGTCCTCTTTGCTCTTTGAAATTATTTCTCTTAATCTCAATACAAATTATTTCTTTTACATAGAAAAAAATAGCTATTAAATTATATGGTAACTAGTATTTTCAAAGCTTCAATGTCTAAAATACGTAGGCATAATGCACCATTTTCTGAACCAGCAATTTACACTATTTGGTCACATAAATTAACATTTACAGAAAGGGCAAAAAGAATGCATAGTCAACTGGCAGAAATTAATTTTTCAAATTACTGAATGGATAACCAAAAAACCAACCACCATAAATAAATTTTAAATAACCCAATTATATGTTAATTCAGCGAAACAATTAAACCATTTCATCCAATATATCATATCAATTTAATAAAATTAATATTCTCAACAAATTATTGACATGAAGTTATGCAGGGAACATACCGTAGGCTTCTTTCTTTCAATTTGGTTTTCAGTTCAACACGAATGGCAAGAATGCAAATCAGGTTCCAATACAATAAAATGAAGCAATGTATCAGAATATATGGTTGACTAAAGCAGGAAGAGTAAGAGCATGAATGTGTTTGTGGGTCTGTTTTGTGCCCACAGACATCTTGATATCAAATATACATGGAAATGAAAATGCAAATACAATACCTGCAAAAGGATCTGAGTCATACACCAACGAAACCCAGACATAACAGCAGCAAGCAAACAAGAAACAAAAACCCCCAGAAGTCAACTCAGTTCCTCTTTGAAAACTGCAAAAACAAAACCACCAACCAAAATAAATTAAGTGGAAGGTTTGAATTCTTAATAATGTTGCTAGTGCTTAAATTCCAAATCTTTATTAATTAAAAAATGCAAATTGAACAAGTTTTTGGTTTTAAAATTCTAAACAGTAAACCACAGAAAACCCAATACTTTTAACGTGGAATTTTCCAACAAAATTATGAAGAGTTTATGGTTGTTTTTAGAATCCTGAAAAAAACCTATTTCTGTTTTGCTTAAACTTTTCAAACTAAATTATAAGAATAAAATGTCTATCCTAACTTCTACTAGATGCTATTTCATTTTGGAATTGAAGAAAAGTCTTCCACACCAAAAAAGAATCAGAAGTATAATTTAGTCTTCAGAATCCTTGATAGCTATGCTGCTTATTCTCAGAAGATTACCATGCTCTATAGTTTATCACTGAGCATGTAGGCAGCAAAAACGGGCTCAGACCAAGTTCGATGGCTTGTGAAAAATGAACGCTATAAAAATAGCACATTATGATAGATACCAAAGGTTCTTCAATATATCTCCTTCCTCCCAAATCTTACCACTCGATACCTGCTTAACCCCTCAATCCCCTCATCATTACATTTATGTATCCTCCCATGCAGAAATGTAACTTGAAATGGCCACCATCCCTGGCTACCACACCACATGCACAGGCCGTCACTTTGGAGTCACCCATCCTGCCTAAAATCCCTTACCAATCTGTCCAAGCTCTCATCAGCTTTAACCCAATAGTCTTCCCTTCATCTCTTAAAAATAGTTATCATATTTTGTTAGATTTCTTGGAACAAGAAATCCTGAACACACACTAGGCAACAACCAAACACAACAGAACAATTGAAAACAAGGAGCCTCGTATTATTATTCTTGAAGACCAAAAAATTCCAAGGTTATAGCGGCCAAACAACTTCAAGGAACACTTTCCTTCTTCACAGGAATGCAATGGTCCTGTCTAAGATACTACAAAGCAAAAACATGTCTGTCCCATGACACCCCTGCCCCCTTATAAAGCTAACCCTTCCTGGCAACCAACTACTAACCACCCAACGGTCCCAACAGACCTCCTAAACCTCCTAACAGCCTATCAGCCTATAACAGCTTATTTTATTTTATTTCTCTGCTCCTTTCATACACTCTTAAAGTCCTAACATATTTACTACCACAAAAGTGAAGGAAGATATAATACCTGTTAATAAGATGCCAAAAGAGATGATTAAGATGATGCCTGAGAGTCTAAAGCTTGGTGTCTCCAACCTTCCAACCAAAATTTACAAACAAGATGTCAGAAAACAGGTAGAAATGAATATATATATATATATATATATATATATATATATATCTATATTATTATATATATCAATCACTCACCTACAGGATCATAACCAAACATGCCCATCAATTTGGGAAGAAAGAAGCAGCATGACAAAGTTAAACAAAAAAAAACAAAAAGTAGAAAATAAATTCTTAATAATTGATATAATTGTAAGCAATGTCAATTCTAAAGAATTCCACCCTTTCACAGAATAAATTACCATTGCTGAAAGTAATGATAACTGAAGCACATACCTAATTCTTCGAGATTATGCAAGAATTTCCATGATAAAAGTGTGTTTTTCAGAAACAGAAAAGCGCTATAAAAACTAATCCTTGTTGAATGCAACCCCTGCTTTAAATTTTAGAATGTTTAACATTTAACCTAACGCAACCAGAAGAATCATATAATTATAATGATTATGAAGGCAAAATGACTGAAACACACCTGAAAGCAAAAGCAAACAGAAGGAGAAAAATTGGAGCAGCAGATTTACACTGCAAGAGAAAAGGAATTTTCAATAAGAAGAATAGTTTACTTTGCTTCCATAAAACGAGTAAAACGTAGAATCAAATCTAATGAACATTACAAAGCAAAAGAATTAAATTAACATATATCCTATCTCATTCTTCATGAAAAGAGAAATGTCACAAAAAACCATTTGTAGCAAACGTGACAGAGATGAAAACTAGAGATGCATTGCTCAAGTTAATATCCATTGCAGTTCCAAAAGCAGTTGGTACAACTGTTAAAGGCAAAGTCCATCTGTGGCATTAGTTGATATAAAAGTTAATGTAATAAGTGATGAGAAATTTGCTGAAAATGTGTGATTCAAGGTATAAGGTTAGCAAAGATAACAATAAAATGCGTTATTTTCTAAGCTTTCTGCCACATTGAGGGGGACAATTGAATTGAGTAATTATTATAGTCTATATTCCCACTTCCAAAACTTGTAGGGTAGGTAGATATGGCTTAGAGCATAAAGAAGGAATGATTTTATTACATGATCTTTGTAGTTTATTTGCTTGTACTAATAGCTCGCACAGTTGGGAAGTTCAATGCCTTATCATATGTTTAGTGCTGAATTTTTCATGTGTAACCAATTTTATACTCAATTTATTATATGTAAAACAATGGATGCAAGTATTTTTTTTATCTAATAATACAACGTCAGACCTTGAACAACAACCTGCTACTATGTATTTCTTCTTGTACACACACATACTATATTGTTTAAGGAAGCCATACTGGTGTTTCTCTAAGATGTTGTGATATGTCCTCTCAATTTAATGGCAGCCGTTGAGTGGTTCTGTTTTTTTTTTCTGAAAATCAGATACCTTAAGCTTCGGAAGGGCCATGCTGGTGGCAGTGACATGGAAGAACCTTCAATAGATTCTGCAGCCAAATATGTTATTCTTGAGGAGATGGACGAACAAGAAGATATTATCTGAAACCATTAACCAGCAAACATTTCAAAGCCAAAGTAAGCCTTTTCTCAGATGCCAGTTTAATGGCACAAATCATAGCATTATCTTTTATTAGTTCAAAAATGAATATATTGTCTTTTAATCCAGAAACATACATGTTTCATGGTATCATAGATGAAAATGGAATCATGCAAGTTGAAGTTTAGATCATAGGATATTTCCCATTTCTACAATTTCTATGAAATATTTAGTGCATGTTAATTATGAAGTATAGATTCTATTTTGTCACTCAAATGTTAATACCTTTGAGAATTTTGCAGAAGTTACATTTTTGTCTTTATTGATTAAATTATTGGCTAACTATTCACTGAAGCCTGCTTTCATGACTTATATGTATATCGAAGCAATGTTCTCTAGAGACCAAAGGGCACATAATCTTCCAGCGACTTGCCAGTTGTTTTGCCACATTTCATCAAGAGACGCATGTTTATGTTCCCTTTTGGAATTGTGGTGTCCGAGTTTCTTTTGAAGTTTCATTGAGTGAACAATTCTTGGGATATAATGCTTGGTGTAAAAATATGTACTCAATCAGTGAAGAGATTTTGACACTGCTTGGTGTCAAAGTTCTTTTGAAGTTTGTAAGCCAACAACTTTTTGGGATATAATGCCTTTCTACGATCAACATCACTTATTCTGTAAAAATACGTACGCAATCTGTTGAGAGATTTAGACATATGTTGGCAGAACACGACAGATTGTGATTGATCAAATTTTATCATTTTTTCTTTCTAGTATGAAATTGTATTTTGATCATATTACCATAATTTTTGTTGTATATACTAAATCCAGTTCATTATTTCTTATCAACACAAATTGGTCTTGAATTTGAATTTCATTGTTATGATGG